CAAAATTAAAAATAATTAATATTTATTAATATTTTAATAATGTTTCAGGAATATTAAAATATAATACCTAGGTTTATTATATAAGTGGATATATAATCTCTATAGAATACTCCTGTAATATTAAAAAAATATTTATGATATTTTCGAAATATTATAACATTATTTTAATTTTTTTTTAATAATATTCATGTAACATTCTAGGAACATTTTGCGCTTATAGGGTAACTACGCATTGAAGATTGAGATCGAAGATTGAAGATTGAAATTTGACCAATGAGGACAAAGGAATTTTAGCTCTTATTGGCTGCGTTCAGCAGACTCAACAGTTTTGCAACCGTTTTATGATTGTCTGCTGAGATAGGACCATTCTTCTAGATCTAAAAGTATGATCCAATTAGCGCGAAGGAAACTTCCAACAGTTGCAAAACAACCGTTCTGCTGAACGCAGCCATTGTTTTGATTGGTCAAATTTCAATCTTTCAATCTTCAATCTCAATCTTTAATGCCTAGTCTGATTCCAGCCAAACAGGCCGTTCCAGCGATAACTTCGGATCTACAATAGGGTTTTAAACCTTAAGCCATAAGAAATGGGCGAATCACAGTCGATTATTCCCCTCGGATTCGACTGTAATTGGTCAATTTCTTACGGCTTAAGTCTTAAAACACCTATTGTAGATCCGGACTAAAAGGAGACATGTAATCAAAATTGACGCTTGTCATCAATCGACGCGTTCAAGCCGGACTGTGCAGAATTAATGAAGAGCTGAGAATAGAGAAAATGAGAGCTGATACGAATTAAAAAATTAATTTGTATCTTAAATGAGCAGAAAGTGCAACAAAGTGCAGATGCTCGGACAGTCGATAGGTTTGCCGCGTCACATGCTCCAACATGTTCCAACATGCTCTTACCATAGTTCTTACTCACTCCAACGCGCTTTGTAGAGTGAGTAGGAGCATGTTGGAGCATGTTGGAGCTTGCGACACGACAAACCTTCTATTTTTTTAAAGATGGCAGTCGCACGGTGAATCAGGGGTAAAAGAGGGAGAGAGAGAGAAAGAGAGAGAGAAACGTTGCAAACGGTTGTCAACAAATAGCAAGATTTGTACTCGCAGAACGGGCGATTTGGGATGATTAAAGAAACGAGAGAGTTGAATCGAACTTAAGTTACGTCTCTTCTCTTTTTATGTAACCACCACGCGAGAGAATAAACCGCCGAAAGTGCCGAGAGTATCGGAAGCAGCACGGGGCAAGAGCTATCGAGAAACAGGCCTTCCTCTATCTGAAACACAGACTTTGATGAATGTCTGAGAGTGATTACGATTCAGCAAACGAGTACACAAGCCTGATGGACGGTCACGTCGCGGAGTCTCGCCCGGACGACTTGATCCTGGACAACGAGCGTCGGAAGGGCCGTTCCAGAAGTGCCAATGAAGAGGTAGTTTTTTTCAAGAAAATTCTCAATCTTTTATTTACTCAAAGAATTTTGATAATTTCGATTTTCTTGTTAGCAGAAAGGTTTAAGAAGCTTTCGTTAAAAATATCAGGAAAATTTTTCATTTTTACTTAACCCTTCTATGGCAAGATTATTCTTTTTTCAAGATATTCAAGGTATCCAGAAAAGTAGAGTTGGATCAGACCCTCTCCCATGCTATTCATTTTTCAGATGAGTAAAAAGAAGTAAATGATAATATGTTTTTGAACGAAAGACACAGATGATACAACATAACACAGTGTGAATCATATCCTGTTTGCTAATGTTAAACAAAGGCTGCTTTTTTCTTAGGAGACAGTTCACACAAGTGTCTTTTTATTTTTGTTATTTATTGAATATCAAGGAGGATAGAACTTATGTGTCAACTGTGTCTCTTAAAAGGAAAGCGGCCAAAAATAAAATTATCACTGTTATACTGTGTCTCTTATTGGAAAGCATCAGATATATGTCATGAAATTTTTCTTCTATTACATAGACACTGTAAATAAACAAAACCAGAGGTCGCATTTGATCTACCTTATCAAAGAAGGATTTATATATATATTATATATAATCCAAGATTTTTTATAATTTTAATTTTTTTGTTGGCAGAAATGTTTAAGATATTATCATTAAAAATATTTTTCCTCTGTTACAGATAGAAAATGGGGTTCCTGAGGTACACATCGAAACGCCAGGTTCAGCTGTGGCCCGATCAAATAGACGAGGCACATCCGGTAGCAATAATCAAAATAGACGGAGGCACTACAGAGACGAGGAAGAAGAAGAACTGAAGTATGGGGCGGCGCATGTGATCAAACTCTTTGTCCCTGTTTCGCTGTGTATGCTGGTTGTGGTAGCCACTATTAGCTCAGTCCATTTCTATACAACCAAGGGAATGTACTTGTGAGTTTCACCTTTACAATAATGGCAGTTTATGTGTCTGTTGTTTTTTGTGACTGAACTAGTGTATACTTGTTGTACTTAAAGGGATTTTTACATTAGAGAGCCAATAGGCCTATTCTTTTTGGCTGAACTTTTGCAACAGTTCATTCTTGTTTTTCTTTTCTCCTGGAGAGAAAAGGAAGAAAGATGAACTAATGCAAAAGTTCAGCCAAAAAGAACAGGCCTAATTTCAAAGGTGTTTTTTTGAGATTTTTTTAATGAATAAAAATTTAGGTATATTTAAAAAATAATACAGGTTTAGAAGCTGCTTATAATACATGTAAAATGCTTATAGTACATGTAAAAAAATTTTTTTTAATGTTTGTTTTTTACAAAGTAAGCAAAAAATGGAGCTTTTTCTTAATAAGTAGACTTGTAATTCTTGCCTGAACTAGGATAATTAATGTCACATACATATTTTCAAAATGACGATAGTTTGAAAAAATTATTTGAATTTTGCTCATTTTTTTCCTCTTATTTGACCTTCCAAAAAATAGAAAAAATCAACATAGACTATTAATTCTAATTCAGGCGATAATGACATGTTCTCTGAGTATAATCGTAAAAGTAGAAGTCAGTCGGACCAATAGTTGTTTTGGAATCACCATATTCGAAACCACGCTGTTTGGAGAAAAACCCAAAGTTTTATGAAACATTTTAGTAAAAGTACTACTCCGTTTTCCGTTAGGAACGAAAGTGACGCTCAGAGAGGAATGAAACTCTGCTCCATTGAATAGAAACGTTCTAGAATGGTTCCAAAAAGTTGAATATAAATAATAGCGAGTGGTTATTTTATCTTGCCGCACATTTTATCTCGTATATCTTGGACAATTTTCGTTTTTCCCTAAAACCGTTTTTGTGGGATATTCTTAAAATTATAAGTTTCCAAAAAAGCAAAAAAAATCGATTTTTTAACCCTCTAACATAAAAATTCCCTTAAAAGGAAATAGTTATATATTTAAAGTTCAACAAAAGCAAGAAAGTTTTAGTGTAGTTCAATGCAACGACAAAAAACAAGTCTTACGTTATCACGCTGTACATGATACTAATTTATTAGAACAAAACGATTTTTCAGAGTATACACTCCGTTTCATGAGGACAGCTCCGACACGAGTACCAAAGTCTGGCAGGCGTTTGCCAATTCGCTGATTCTCATGAGCGTCATTGTAGTTATGACTGTGATACTTATCATCCTTTACAAATACAGATTTTATAAAGTCATACATGGCTGGCTGATCATAAGCTCTCTATTGTTACTTTCAATGTTTTCCGCTCTATATTGCGAGTAAGTATAATAAAGATATAAGTTTAAATTTAAAACACTCCTATCAAATTCTACCAGTGTAGATTAACTTTAATCTCGATTTATAACTTACTTTTTATATCTTCTTTTAGTTTTTAGAAAAAGGTAAACAGAGTAAATTAAATCAAGACTATAGTTAACTCTAGCTATACACACTTTTTTTCTACTATTGATATTCGGGTCTTTAGGACCCCATTCATATTTGTTACCGTAACTTTCATAAAAATGGACATATTTCAATTGATGAAGAATTGATTAAGAAACAAGCCCATAAAAGTTGATAGAATTAAGGAGCTTCGAGATATATGAGTTTAAAGAAAAGGAAAAGTTCAAAAACACGAAAAAATTTCAATTTAGCAAATTGCACTGGGGTTTCTGGGACCCCATATAGGGTTAATTTATTTTGGTGGAAATCGGCTTCTGTTTTTAGCATCTAAAAGAAAATTTATGTGTTTGTACTTACAGGCAAATGTTGAAAGCTTACAACATTCCAATGGATTTATTCACGCTAGGTATAGGCTTATGGAATTTTGGTGTAGTCGGAATGATTTGCATTCACTGGCAAGGGCCGTTGCAACTTCAACAGGCGTATCTGATCTTTATTTCCGCCTTGATGGCACTCGTTTTCATTAAATATTTACCTGAATGGACAGCATGGGTTGTCCTCGGTGTTATAAGTATTTGGGGTAAGGCATTTTCGAGATGAAAACTTATCACACATACAAGGATGATCTTATATTCTTACTTATACTATTATAGATTTGATTGCGGTTTTAATGCCGAAGGGTCCACTAAGGATACTTGTCGAAACCGCGCAGGAAAGAAACGAATCTATTTTCCCTGCTCTAATATATTCTTCTACCATCTTATACTCATTTACTGTGACTTACGCTGGATATGTACAAGCAGCTACAATGGCGTCTGGAGATACTGCGGCATCTCCTACGCGTGGTCAGGCGGACAATCAAAATAATCCAGTATCAGGCGATACAGAAGAGGGAGGTTTCTCTCCCGAATGGGTAGAAACGCACGGTACGAATTAAACATTAATGAAATTTTTAATAGAAAGAATTATGTTAATTATTAATTTAATTATTTAATGTAATCAAACTCTATGGATTGCGGAAAATATTGAAAGTAACAATAGAGAGCTTATGATTAGCCAGCCATATATAACTAATGTAATCAAAATATGGATTAATGTATTATACAATTTAATTTTTTTTGAAACATCGAAATTTAAGTTCAAAGTTCCTATTCTGTAACTTTCTTAACGACAACGTTGATGTCATTATATCATCGTTGCGCAAGTTTTATATATAATAAAAAAACTATGCAACAACAATTATATCATCGTTGCGCAAGTTTTATATATAATAAAAAAACTATGCAACAACAATATAATGACATGTAATCGATGTTGTCGTTAAAAGTTACAGGTTACAGAATAGAAATTTAAATCTTAACAAACAGGTCTTTTAAATGAAAAACAATTACAAGTAAATATAAATAATTTTAGTGTAGAAAAACAATTAATCTTGATTATACAGATGAGCGTAGCACGAGGCGCGCTCAAGAGGTACGCGAGAACTCGTCCGTGACAACGGAAAGCACGAGACAGCAAGACAATCGTCCGCGAGAGTCGCAACGACAAACTGCGGTCGCCGAGGAGGAACGTGGAGTTAAATTAGGTCTCGGGGATTTTATATTTTACAGTGTTCTCGTCGGAAAGGCGTCCACTTATGGAGACTGGAACACCACATTGGCTTGTTTTGTTGCTATTCTTATTGTACGTATTTTTAAATATGTTCATTGCAATGGATACCGATAGAATTTTTTTAATCGATTGTTTTTTTTACATAGGGCCTCTGTTTGACACTGCTATTGTTGGCTATATTCAAGAAACCGCTACCCGCGTTGCCAATTTCTACCACGTTCGGTTTGACGTTTTATTTTGCCACGAGAGCGATTGTCGCGCCATTTGCTGATAGTTTAGCGAGCGAGCAAGTGTTCATTTAAATTAAGGTATGACAAACCATCCTATTAATTTAATATAATTTATTTCAAAATCGAATGTCGATGACTGTTTACTTATCTATTTAGTATTTTCTGCATTATCTTTAATCTTTACAGGACGGTAAAATCATTGTAGTGATGTTAAAGCAGTGTCATATTTTGAGGCAAGAAATACAATGAAATAATAAATTATAATAAATCTCGTTTAAGGGTAGGCTGTAAGGTTTGAAAATAGACCATCCTCTAAAGATTAATCTTCATATTACTTTCTCGAGCTGATTTTTCTTTTAAATATAACTTGTTTTTTTTTGTGAATTTTTATTAAATTAAACAAATCAAGACGAAAAGTACCTACACTTTTAGACGTTTATCAGAGAATCGTGTATCAAGTGTGTGTTATGTGAGTGTGTCGTAAAATGCTCATCGAAAAGGGAAATACTAATTTAAATTTTTAATATAGATAGCATAGAGAATGATAGAAAATGTAATTACTTTAGTATTTTTCTATGCGAAGCGAATTCACAGGAACGCCTCGTTGTGAAACCAGGCGATTTACATTTCATCGCGGCAATATGTGATAATCAAGCGGGAAAATGCGCTGCATTATAACAATTTATTGTACTCCATTGTTACACTTATGGAACATATAGGTCTCGTAGGTTCATGTATAAAAAAAGCGAATAACGACGGGATGATCGTGGTGAATTGTATGAAATACGCGAGGTAATGTCCGTTCGAATAAGTAATAACTGCCTCCTTATACACTCATCTCGATTAGTATTCGCAGTACGCACTGAACGGTGTCGTTACTCTAGAGCGTCGAGTTCGCTATCACTAATTATTAATTATTAGCCAGGATGAATCTGTGGGGTTTTCTCGAGTCCAGGTTACACACAGCCATGGAATAAATACCTTTTTTTTTTATCATACTACTGAAAAGCATATTTATCGTACTTGTGGCGCTTAGTGTTTTTTTAATATAGATTTTATTTTAACATACTAAATATAATAGTTTTCTTGAAGCTGAAAGTGTTATTTTTTTCCGTCGCATCTTTGAACATCTGATAAGAATACAGGACGAAATGTCTTGGTTATGTAACGAAGCTGTTTTTATCTCAAGATTTTTTGCATGCCAATATAAGATACTTTTTAATAAATTTTAATATTTCAATCATACAATCCGATCGATCTGATTGATCAATTGTCATCCATAGCAATGCAGTGATATCTTTCAAATCGATAATATCGTTGATCAACTTTGGTTTAATATTAATATTCAAATAAACGCTAACATCTGCATAACAACTCCAACTTTAACAGTGTTCTGTTAATTCCTTGCACTATATACATTTATGCTCACATGCACGCATACGTACACACAAATACAGGCAGACAGACAGTGGGTTTGTTAATAACACTTTACCGCTATTTCAGATACTTAAAGGCCACAGTACGAAAAAAAGTTCATAGAAATACGTGTCTAAAGATACTTTCTTAAGTTACAATCCTGTAATTCATTAATTTCTTTAATTTTTGAGTGCAATAAAATTCTATTTAAAATTTTGAACTGTTTCTTCAGTTCTAAAAAATAAAAAAATGAATGACTTGAAAAATCAATGAATAAAATAAAAAAAAGTACTTTTGCAAATTTTGATTTTGTTCATACCTTAAGAGTTTGGGAGACATAAGAAAATATTTTCTTTTCAATCTTTACATTTCTGAACACATACTTATATGAATTTCTTTTCTTATTTGGATCTCTAGAACACGTACCTGAAGTAGTGATAAAAGTTTAACAGCCAGAGATAGATCCCGAAAGCGGAAGAACTTTAACAAAGACATGATATTTTTTTCGCTTGTAATACATTGCTACGTTCACAAGCCGATAATTATTACGCTAATGGAAATTGGAGTCTTTTAATTCGCTAGTCGATTCGCTACTTCGGATCGCGCATACAAAATTCTATTCGACGCACAAAATAAATACTCTTCAGCTATCGAATAAACTATGCGAAGTTATGGTCACCGTTGCTGACGAATTCGTTCTTTCGCCGCACCGTAATTTATAATAATGTACGTTTGTGCTAGTGAAACGTAACTGGAATGATAATATTAACTACATGATTTGACTATATCGAAGGAAAGACACTTCGTGAATTCTACTGGGAGATTCTATTGGAAAGACATTAGGAAAATATCTGTAAAAGAGAAAATAAATCGCTATGACGCGATATATTTTGTCTCGCTAGCTGCGGTCTTTCCTCTCTCATAAAGAATATATCACGTTGCTTTCCCATTATTGTCTCTGTGCGAATTTTCCGGCGAGCACGAGACAGTATCAGTGAAGAACGCTCATTTTCTACAAACCAGTCTTACGATCGCTAAGCTTCTGGAAGCATATATATTTTTTTGTAACAACTACAAAGCAGGATGAGTCACTTAACATTTGCAATTCGGTTACTGATAAATGTAATACTCTTATTGAAAGTATCAATGAATTACGGAATATTTTAGTCTTTCATTTTTATATGATTCTTCGTAGAATTGATATGTAATTCAAGGAATATAGGTATTGTGTGCGATAAATGTTACGAGACTCATTCTGTATAAACGCCGTTGCTACTCAATTCACCCAATATCTCTTTTGCTATAGCTACTGCATTTTTATAAATAGAAAAGAAAATGACAAAAATACGATAAATAATAAACATTTGTCATATTTCACTTACTTATTCAATTCTCTCACTCATTCTTCGGCATTCGAAAAGATGAGGGTTGCACGATAATATTTTAGCTAGTTCCGTATTTGCCGCTCTCGAACATACCGCGCCTGAAAAACGAGCTGAACTCCAGTAAAGATTGTTTGTTTATGTTGCTAAGATTGCCGTTGTATTTGTATAGGGGCTCGCAGTGCGGCAGTTCCGAGCAAACTTGAATTAATCGGCGAAGATATTCTTCGAGGCGTTTCCGACGTTGCCTCGCTACGACTTCGTACTTTGGAAAGACTTGGCGTGGGGGGAATCGTATCGCAGCGACCTGTGATCAAAGAGTCTCCGTAAAACCGATTGTGTTGCGAATGCGTGCTTACATTTATGAAAATGGTCTGTGAATCGTGTGTGTGTATATACACAAAAAAATATATATATAACTTTGATCGATAAAAAGGTCTAATTATTTCAAAACAAAAAATATTTTTTGTTTTGAAATAATTAGATCTTTCTATAATTCAAAGTTCATTTTAAAATATTTATAATTCATGTCAAAGTTCAGAATAAAGTTACGTAATATTTATGCATATATATGTGTGTGCATGTTTTGTATTTTATATAAGTATGTCCTGATTTTTCAATGCTTTTCCGTATTTTATATGGCACACAGAATTCATAAAAAGAATTTTATAACGAATTTAATTGTTTGAAATGAACTTAATGATTTAGGTATAATAATAAGATACTTTTTAACAAGATCTCTTTCTCTGCAATGGTAAAATTGTTTTTTTTGAAATTACAAATAATTTCTTTCTTCAAAACTTAAGTAAACCCCACTTGGGCCGGTATTTATAGTCAGATCTTATATTCAAGACCGTCTTAAGTACAGTCTTAAGAAGTCACGAACCAATCAGAGGGCCGTATCAGCGTCTTAAGACATTACTTAAGACAGTCTTGAAATAAAAACGAACTAATACCGCCTTGGATTTGATATTTTACATGACTTCAATTCCCATATTTATGCTAGTTTCAATTATATAATGTACAATAACGTACCTTACTACCGTATTTCTGTCGCATCGATACGTACAACTCTCGAAACCTTCTGTATCTACGTAACAGCGTCCAGCTGTCGTCCTGTGCCACAACTCGTACCTCGTATTCATAGTGGCTAGATGCGCCGGCTCCGCGTATCACATATGACGGCACGCTGACAATCATATTAATCACGCAGTCGTTGTCGTTCGCTATTAACGATGGCAGGGACCTCGTGATTGTCAAAGAATACGGACTACTCAAGCGGTCGCCGCGATTCTGACTCTGCAAAGAATGTGTGTTGAAGTTGTCTCAAGACTGATCATCTAAAGGTTTTTTGTTGCTCTGCATTGAACTATACTGAAACTTTCTATCTCGCTTTAGCCAAAAACTTCAAAAATATATCTGTTTCATTTTAAACCTCCGTGGTCCAACCAGGGCTTTGAAGACCGAGGCAAATTTTCAATTTTTAATTATTCTGCCTCAAATTCGAACACGTACAAAAAGTGAAAGTTTCGAGTTATATTATTGTAAAATCGTATTTTTGAATGTTGAAAGAATGTACTAGAATTTTTTCAGATTTTTTAAAGTCCATTTGAAAAACACAATCAGGTCCGATTAGATCAGGAAAGCAGTGAGAAAACGTTGAATCACAAAGGGTTAGATACAACAATGTTCATAGTTCAGCCACAAAGAACAAACCTTAAGACGAGAAAGAAACACTGATGATTTACCGTCAAATAAACTGTCGAGTAACCCCGACTAGAGGATCTTTTAGACGCTAACGATTCCGACAAAGTCTCTTGATCATTAGTATTAGGCCTGTTATTCCTGAAAAGTTGAGATCTGGTTTGCGCTACCGTTAATAGAGTGGCGGAGCTATTATTCGTAGGTTCTACAACACTACAGTAAGCATTTGGTTCGTTCTGTACATAGTTCTCGGTCTCGTTGATGAGTCTATCACTATGGTTGTTGTCGTCGTCATCGCACTGGAGCCGCCTGGTGGAATGATTTTTCCGTTCATCCTCCAATAAAGACACTTCCAATTCGATCTGCTGTCTCTGCAGATCCTGTAGTATCATTATTTGTCGATTGAGATCCTCCTTCGACGGGGTGCCGGCGTCCAAGCATCTCATCACCATCATCCGTTGACGTGCGATTCTTTGGTTCAGCCTCTTCATTGCCGGATTTTGCTGTATTGGCGATTCCAATGTATCCTGGAGCATGTTCTCCGGGATGGTGGACACCGTAGGCGGTTGTACCTTCCCTTCTTCGTCACTCACCAGCTCCATGGAAGCAGCTCCATTCGCATTTGTCGTGCTCTTAGTTTCCACTTCGGATGAACTGTCATCTCGGTCTTCAATTACGGATTTATCCTTCATCAGATCGTTTATACACGTCGTATCGACATCTTCGAAAGCTATGCGAAGTTCCGGAGAGTCGGCCGCTGCCGTGTGGAATGTTTCCACGGTATCGGAGCTCGGTATACTCTGCGGCAACAAATTCAAGTCTGAGGCGATCTGATGTTTTCTATTGTTCACTTCGTGAAAAGATGTGGAATTACAGCTGAAAGCCTCGTCGCAATCATTCGATGAACAGCCGTCGTCCAAAAACGCGGGCGTAGTGCGTTTTAAGTCCAACGATAGACTGTGTTTACGCCGTTCGATTTCTTCAAGCTGTTCCTGAGTCCGCTTGGCCAACAACAGTTTCTTCTCCGTTACTCCTTCACCTCCCAGCTAGAAATCATTAATGTAAAGAATCGTTTTACAGAACGTTAGTATTTTACGTGTACATACTTCTGCCCTGAATATCTGCTTCTGCTTTTTCGCGATCTCCATCAGTTCCTCTTCCATCTTATCCACCTTACTCTGATGTTCATTTAGAGATTTGACCTTGCTCTGCAACTCGTTTTCCAAAGCGACTAGCTCTTTTTTCTATTTAAGAAAATAACATATTTTTTAAAAGAAAGTAGTCAAACGAGATTGAAGAGAAACGCTTAAAGATCCTGTCCACTCATTACTATCTCAGGTCGTGTAATGTTAGAAGCGAGAAAACACGATAAAAATTCTTGCAAATTCTATTTGATTAGAAATATTTTTCAATAAAGCAATTTACAATTGATAAAATATCTCTAAATTCTTGTTTCGGGAAGAAATTAAATCATATTTATATTTCTATATATTATTAATTTGATAGTTTACCATAGCTATGAATATAGTTCATTTATGCATAATTCATTTCCAGATATATGCATAATGTAAGAATACATATATACGGCGCTTTCCATTAATGACAGAATTTGATACAAATTCTATCTTTCTATCATTCTAGTAATTAACAAAAATAGAACTTGGGTCAACAAATGGAAAGCATCCATGGTTATTTATTAATTAACGAAACAAAAGAAAAGTTTTCAATATTAGCCGGTTCAGCAAAGAAAGCAACTTTGCAACTGTTGTAAAATTCTTCAATACAATTGGTTCTTGCTTTTGATTCCTTATGAATCTAAATGTATAAATCAATCATATTGAAGA